GGAAACACCGCCGAGCTCGGTCTGGGACAGAAGCCCTCATCCCAGCGGTCTCAGCTGAGGGAGAAAGGGGTGTCTTGGCTTCCATCAAGTGAGGAACTGAGGCCAGGGTTACAGAACAGCAGAGGGCCAAAGGGAGAAGTGAGAAAACCTTTCCAAAATACCAAGAAAACAATGCTTCTGGAATTGGGGAGGAGGTCTCCTAAGCAGGAAAGAGGAGCAAATATTTCAACAACAACTAAATTTGTTGTTGCAACTTGATTGTTCCCCAAAATATTACCACAACAAAATTTTCACCCCTTTCCACTTTCCTCCAGACCTCAAAATTGGAATGTTTAATGGAAGGAGTGGGTAAGAGATTCAAATAATTAAGTAGAGACTGGTCCCTACAAGTGTATCAACAGTCCTGCGAGGTGATGCTTTGGGGGAAGCAGCATATGGACTGGGACCCCCAATTATTGTCTTTTATGGTGGTATCCTCCAAATATTCAGAGCAACACCCTGCACCCTCAGCAAAATGGGCAGCCTGAGATATTAAAGGGCTATATTTCAAGCAGTCTGATTTTAATAGTTTCCAGATTGGGGGATTTCCGAGAAAGGGGGCGCCCGGCCCAGGCATATACCCAGCAGCTTGTGTCTGCTTCTGATTAGCAGATGAAAACTGCTGGTTTTAGGGAAGGCGCTCTGGGGTGCAGCTCAGTCAACCAGCCCCTCTAGGCTGTTACACACACACCCTCACCTTTGTGCTTGGGGTCTCACAGCCACCAGGGAGCACCCCACTCATGGCTAATCTCTAACCAGCTTCCTTGGGCCACACCAAGCCCTAGGAGTGCTGCAGCTGCTTAGCATGACCCTGGTTACTCCCAGACCAACATGCCAACTCAACACCAGAAAGAGGCAGAGACTGACAAGAGAACTAGGAGGAGAGGAGAGCATAATGATTGAGAAGTAGAAAGTAAATCTAATTCTGATTATATTGGCTTTGTCATCTTCTTCCTCTCCTCTTTTCTTCCTCCTCCTCTCCTTCCTTCTTCCCTTCTTTCATTTCTCCTCCCAGCACTTCCTCCTTCTCCTCTTTCTCTTTCCGTTTTGTTCTCTCTCTCAATGCAGTCCCCAATGCTTGTCCTGCTCCCTGAGGCCTGCCTGGTCTTCCTCCTAGCCGAACATCCCCCGTCAGCCTTCTTTTCCTAGTCATCCCTGAAAACACCAAAGCACCAATGCAGCTGGGCAAGAATCCAGCCTGGGCCCTCACCCAGCACCCAACTTTCATCTTCACCTATCTCTCCTCTACGATCTCATGTACTCATAAATTATTACAATTAATTACAGCCAGGGAAAGCCATTCATGCTGTGCCCCCCCCCCCATCTAGCCACCAGGAAACTTGGGAGGCAGGCACCAGCCAGGCCTCTGCCTCAGCAGCTTCCACTGCTCCCCTGGAACCCCCACCCCCACCCTGCCCTGCCCCAGAGAAGCCACAGGCATTTGCCCCTCCGAGGTAGCCAGCCTCCCCTAGAGGATCTGAGCACTTGCCTCCTCCACAACATGAGCCTGGTAGCCACAGGGAGGAGAAATAACGAGAACTGGATGCAGTTGGGTTTCTGGTTTTTAAAGCAACTTGGATATATTAACACAGAGCTGTTCTACCATAACAAACAGAAGCACATTACAGGACCGACGCTGGGGACAGACGCTGAGGGTGAGAGGGAACGCTGCTATATACACGCTTGAGGCACCGGCCTGTGCCGCCCGACCCAGCCTGCGCGTCCTGGCCCCTCAGCTCCTGGGTTGGGAATCATTGTTGTGTGTGTATGTATGTGTGTGTGTCTTTTTTTTTTTTTGTACAAAATCTGCACACAGAATGCCCCAGGCCTGGGAAGGGATCGCCCAGATCAAATATGGTACAGGAAAAAATAGAAATATAGCAATTCAAGTACTGGCTTCTCTGAAGAAAGGAGGAAAAAATCACATTTGTGTGTGTCATTTATTTCTGTTGCGCTGGGGGGAAGAGAATTCAGTTTCTCTTCTGCCTCTTTATCGCTGGGTAGAACTAACTCTAAAACACCAATTTCTCAACACTTAACCCTCCCAAATCGCGAGTTTTCCTTTTTCCCTTTTTTAAGCTGATTGGCTTTTCTCTATCTTGCTCCTTCCTTTTCTTTTCGTGCTTTCTTTCTCCCGCCTGGGTTGGGATATTTTTGTGGGGTTTCTGTTTTTCCCTTGGCTGTGCTGAGGCAGCAGGCTGGGGCAGGGTTTAGGATTGCTCCTTGTCGGTTTTCTCTTTATTCATCTTTTTCATCTTCATCCTCCGGTTCTGAAACCAGATTTTGACCTGCCGCTCAGTGAGATTGAGAACCCGGGCCACCTCGTACCGACGGTCCCTGGTTAAATACATATTGAAGAGAAACTCCTTCTCCAGTTCCAGCGTCTGGTACTTGGTGTAGGGGCAGCGCTTCTTCCTCGTGGACCGGGCGTGGATCCAGTTGGCCACGGGGTTGCCTGGAGGGCCAAACACAGGCAAGGGTCAGTGGAGCCCCTTTCCAGCCCAGGACCTCTGCCACCCCAACCCCAGGCTTAGCCAGGCTCCCCAAATCCAATAATTGAACCTGAATTTGGACACGTTTTGCCTTAGGAATTTACCTCCTTCCTCCTTTTGCATTTTGCCCCCTCCCATCTCCCCTCCCTCTTTAGTTTCCAGCACCTAAAACTGTAGGAAATCCGAGGCTATCAAAGCCCCTACAGTCTGGTCCTCAGCTTCAAGAGTAGTAATTCGAGAATATCCTCATAAAAAGTCCAAATTCCCAACCGTTTCATAGGCCCATAAACGCTTCTCTCTCTTGTTTTTTATTTTTATAGCAAGGTCTCTCTCCTCCCCACCTCCCTCCTCCTCTGCCCCCTCCCATCCTCCCAGCCCACGACCAAGTCCTGAAATTTCAGCACTTCTGCTTCCTGACCCTGAGAGTCCCTAAACCCCTCACCACTCTCTCCAGTGCCTGTCTCCCGCTCAGAGTTCAACCCTGCTGAGGCGAATTCTCAGGACGATGCTGAGATGGGGAAAGTCTTTCTCCTCTCTCCAGAGAGCTGCTGGACTTGGGGACAGACTCCCCTATAGCTTGGCCTCCAGTGTCCCCCTCTTGCCAGCCCCAGGACAGGCTATGCAGGAGCTAAGCCTCCAATTTCAGGTTTATGGGAGTAGCTAAGGGCAGGGAGGGAAGCCTTCAGAGGGGTATAATTAGGCCCTGGCCCCTTGTGGGGATAGAGAAAAAGATTTCCTACAGCCCCCTCCTGGGACTCCCCCAGACACTTCCTCACACCCAGGGGACTGCACCCCCTCTCCTGCTGTTTCTCCTTATTTCCCCTTTCTCTGGCCCTGCAGTTCCCACCTGCCCCCCCACCTATCCCAGCCAGACCTCTTTTGCAATACTCTGAAGGTTCCTATCTCCTTGATAGGAGCCTAAGAGTGTGAGTGTGTGTGTGTGTGTGTGTGTGTGTGTGTGTGTGTGTGAGAGAGAGAGAGAGAGAGAGAGAGAGAGAGAGAGAGAGAGATTCTCTAATCTGGGGAGATGCCTTCCCCATTTCACATCCCTGACACCCATTCTCTACCCTTTCTCCTGTAAACCCTCACTAGAGGGTTCTCAAGTTTAAGGAGGCTCAGACCCTACTTCTCTCCCCAGTTCCCTCTGGAAGTCTTGATCTCTCCAAGATTCTAGGCTACAAAATCCCCGAAGACCCCTCAACCAATGCTCCTGGGGGAGGGCAATGGACCTTCTGTTTGTATGAATCCATAGTGGGGTGAGAATTCCCATGCTGACTGGGAGGCAAGGGTGATTTTTCTCCCAGGGGTATTTCCTCTCTACCCCTAGTGTTCTCCTCACCTCTCCCCTGTCCCATCTCAAACCATAAAATGAATCTCGCCCCCCAGCCCAGCCCCTGGCCCTGTCTGCATTTCTTGGAAAGTGGCGATTGAGCCAAAAAGCCTGGGCAGGGAGAGGGCAGGGGTCGCTTTCATCAAGTCAGCCTCTGGGAGAGGAGTCCCCCTTCGACCCTCTCCCAACCTGGCTCCCTGGGCCCCCTTCTCAGACCTTCCTTTCCCTGAAAGCTCCCCAAGGTAATTCGCTTTTATTGAGTCCTCGCCCCCTCGCCCTCGCCCCTCTCCCGCGCTCCCTGGATCGCTCGGAGGGGCTGTAATTCGGCTCCCCCCGCCTGTCCTCCCCTCCCCTCCCGCGCCGGTTGTAAAGGAAAATTGCTCCCAACTTACTGGGGTCCAGGTCGGCCTTCTCCTCTTTGTGCTTGCTGCCGGCGAGTGCGTCCGCCTCGGGCGAGGGCAGTGTCTGCGGGGCGCGGTCGCGCAGCTCCCCGGGCGAACCGTACATGTAGTCCGGGTAGCTGCGGCCGTCTCCCGGGCCGCAGTCGGCGCGGCGCCCGGGGTAGGCGTCCGGCTTGAGGGCGTAATGACGGCCCCCGGCCGGGAAGCTGGGGAAGGAGACGGCGCCGGACAGCGGCTCGAGCCAAGTCCGCATGTAGCGCGTGTCGGCGCCGAGGTGGGGCTGGGGGCCGTACGGGTGATATACCACGGACGACTGCGAGGGCACGGGCGCCCACGACGTGCTGAACACTGCCGGCTTGGGCGCGAAGCTACAGGACGGAAAATCGCTACAGTCCGGCACCAAACCGCTGGGTCTGGCGGCGGCGGGGTGAGCCCCTGTGGCCGGAAACCTGGACGCTAGGAGGTCTTCATTGTCGTGAGAGATGAGCGAGTCCACGTAATAGTTACTGATGGGCCCCGTCGCCGACATCGTAACAGGGTTTTACATACATAAGATTATTGTATGAACTGTATATGTACTTTTTATCTGCTCACAGAACAATCAAGGCAGGTAATTATTTTTCCAGCCTTTTCCCGGCAGCTCATTGGTTCCCCAGCCCCCACGTGATCGTATTTACCCAAAAATACGGCGCGGATCAATGCGCAGGGGCTTTTTTTTCCCTTGCTTTCCCCCCCTCCCACCCCCTCTCTCTGCTGATCCCCGCGACCTGCGTTTTCCTGGGGGTCCGCAACTCTGGACTCCAGGCGCCGGCCTCCCCCCCCCCCCGCGCAGGATCGCTGATAATCAGAGAACCCCCCCTTGCCCATGTCCGCTCATAAACAGATGGCTCTCTCCAACCATGAGGATTTTTTAATGGGGTGAAAATACCAATCCCCGAAGCAAGGGTTCCCGGACCCCCAGGGTTGAGCTGGGCGCAGGAGCCCCATAGGGGCGTGGAGGCCGGTGGAGGTAGGTGGAGGAACTATTTCTTGACGTAATCTGTCTCTGTCGGCCCCGACGCTCCCGCAGTCTCTGAGCAAGCCTAGATCAGCGATTGTCAGTTCGGAACGTGGCTTTTAAACATGCGTTTTTAAATAGTGTGTATGTATGTATTTCTTTCAGGAGCTGCAGCAGTGAGGGTGGGAGGGTGGGAGGGGACTGGAGAAGCTGGGGTGGAGGGAGGGAAGGAGGGAAAGGGGAGCATCCTTCTGCCACTGGCCAACTCAACCCCCAAATCTAGGGTAGGGGAAGCTTAGGGAAGATGATCTGCGGGTGGGAGGGGAAGAACTTCGGAATCTCATACACCTTTATCATCAGCCTTGGAAGTCTTCCCTTTGGCACAGATATACAAGCGCCTTTATTTTAAATTTATTGTCTGTATCTATTTATGTTTCTTTGCCAGCTTGAAGAAGTGGAGGAGAGATCTACACAACTTAAGTGGGGCATCCCCATCCCGTCTGCCTGCTCACACTCTTTTGCCCCCAACTTCATCTCTGCGTCACCCTACCCCCCCAACAGAAGTCACTCACTGGTTCTGTCTGCAGAGAGCCAGGGTGAGAACGGGCAAGGCGAGAGAGCGACCTCGGTCGTGGGCAAGTAGCTTGTTTTTACGTCCTTCAATAAAAATTTTATGAGGATCATTTGATTGTTCATAAATGTGTCTTTCATTAAATAAAATTGTAGGCTGTTTTTGGAATGGGAAAAAAGCAACGGAGGAATGGGAGAAAGCAATTTCTTTGGGGTCGGATGCAGGAAATCTGGAGGGGGCAGTGCGATTGTAGGTGAATATCAGAGAACTTGGATTAACCCCCCAATAGTTGGTTGCTACCCTCCTTAAATTTTGGGTTCACTGCACAGCCCTAGGCTTTACATCAGACTGTCCCATGGTGGTTTAGTAAGGGGGAGGGCATTAGGCAATCAGAAAACCCTCAGTGTGTGTGCAAGAGGGGGGTAGGGAGATTGACTGGGGGCAGGAGAAGGACAGGTGATTGTCCCTAGAGGTGGTGCACTTAGGCAGGGCAGAGTGAATTTGAAGGAAGGGTGCAATTTCAGGGTCAGAGGGAAGAGTCTCAGTGTGCTCAAGGGGAAATAGGCAGGAGCTGGGGCTGAGATGCTGGCTCTGAAGGCAGCAGGGAAGGAGGCTTCCCAGATCCATCCATGCTTGCCCTGCTTTCCCTCTTCTATCCCCAGGAGGGGACCAAATGCCAGGGGTGGGGGTGAGTGCTGGATTTCTCATGTATCTGGATTGCTCTATCTCCTCTGGGGTGATAGAAGGGCTGGAGAGTGTATTAGGTGTATTTGGTGGCGTGGAAAGTTGGGGGGAGGGCACAGCTGCAGCTCCAAGCTTGGACCCCAGCTCCATAGGTCCCCTCCCCAGTCCCCTCTCCTCCCCATCTTCAGTTCTTTCCATTTCGGTCTACCGGGGCTGGGATTTCAATGCACAGAGGACATGAGGGAAATAATCTGACTGGGGAGAGGCAACGGGGGTCTGCAGCCTTGTCCCCCTCAGCTCCTACTGTCTTCTCCCTCCATCTGGATTGGCTGGGAAACCTAAATTACAACAAGACAGAAAATCTCTTTGGCCTTGATGGAGTCGGGTTAGCTGTCAATCAAAAATCTTCCTCACTAGTTCAAGGAAAAGACGGAAGGTTCCAGTCCTTCTGCAGAGGCTTTCTCCAAATCCCCAGTGCAGTAAGCACCTCCCCCAGCCCTTGGTGGCTGGGGACCGGCCTGGCTCTTGGGCGGCTGCTGGCAGCGATAAGCAGAGACATTTAGCCTTCAGCGGGGCCCCGGGCCAGACTGCGACCAAGAGGACACCAGGGGACAGAGCCTGAGAGAGACTGAGACCCAGACAGCCTAAGACAGACCAACTGAAACAAGGCGCCAGGCCCAAGAAAGGAAAGAAGGAAACAGAGGATTAGGATAAAAAGAAAAGAGGTGGGGGAGAAGAAAGGAAGGAAAGTAAGCTGAAAAGAGAGGAGGGAAAGGAAGGCATACAGATAGCTAGCCCAAAGAAGGGCAGTGATAAGCAGGCAGGCAGGCAGGCAGGACAGGGCAGGGCGAGAGCTGAAGGAGCAGCCGTGGCATTGTGCAGTCCGCTTGCTGCTTGCTTGCCGGGCCTTTGCAGTGGGACCGACTCCGGGCGCAGCAGCCACTTCTGTCTGGACACAAAGGAGGAAGAGGCCTCTTCTCCTGCCCCTCCTGGGGGACGAGCTCGGGTGGGYACACTAGGCCTCCGGAATACAGAATCCCATATTGGCCCAGGCAGCCTCCCAGGCGACTGGAGGCTGAGCCATGCTCTAGTCAAGGAGCGAAGAAACAGAAGGAGAAAGAGCTTTCACGCCTGCTCCTCCTTTGCGTTTTCGCCAGGCAACAGGGCCTCTCTGCCCCAACCCCAGCTTTCCTGCAGGAAAGAGTCTTTAAAGATCCTCTCCTATGGACTTCTGCTCTTTGGGAGAGCCCCTCAACTGGACATCGTGGCTGTAAAGAGACGCCCCCTTCTTTCCTATCCCCTTTGAACACAGCCTTCTTTTCAACTCTTGAGCTGCCTGAGCACTGGCCTGCCTACCCTGCGGAGTCTACAGCAGTCAGGCGTCAGGATCACCATCCAGGGATCTTTGCTGCCCATTAAATCCCCCAGGAAACCAAGGGAGATTGTTGCCTTGCCTTGCTTTTGGGAGCAGGAACTCCAACCCTCCCCACTAAGTCACAGGCACAGCTGTGGATCAGGAAGCAGGCCTTGCCCACAGCGCCCTCCTGGCCAATGTCCCATTTTCCCTATGCCTCTCAGAGAGAGGCAGCCGTGGGGAGGCCTTGGAGAGCCTGGGAGTCTTAAAGTCCAGTAGGCCCAAGTAAGACAGGTTCCACAACTACATTGTGAGTTGCAACCCCTTTTTGCCATATTTGGAGACAGGATGGCAGGTCAGGACTTTCAAGCAGGCTTTCAGACTTCCCCTAAACCCAGGTGTGGGGGGCACAAGGATATGGGGGCACCAAGAAGGACGGGGTTATCTTACTGGGGTTCAGTTACTCCTGCTGAATCTTCCATTCATATTTCAAGGCTCCCTCTCACCCACACCACTCCCTTCAATTTTCCTTAGCACTGCTGGGGCAATTTGAGAGACCTGGGGGCAGCTGAGAGTCCCTGTTGGTGTGTGTAGAGGGGACCCAGTTCTAGCTAGCAGTTCTGTGAATTCACTTGGATTGCTTAACATTCTTCTCCCCCCCCCCACAAAGATTTCACTGGGCACAGGAGAGTCCCTTAAGGGGGAGGGGCACGCTTACTCTATCACCTCAAACCTGGGCAGCTGAGACCACAATCAAGCTAGCACCGTGGGAAGGACAGACAGACAGGTTAGAGTCATCCCCTCCCCCCTGTCCCGCGGCTCCCTTTCAGTGATTTAAATTCCCTCCGGTTCAATCCACACCGTCAAGTTCGGATTAAATTTAAAACAGGCTTTTCCCTATGCCCCCAGTGGGCCATCCCAGCCGCGGCAGGCAGGGAGCCCGCTCACCGCTCCTTAGCACCAGCCCTGCGCGGCGAAGGCCTTGCTCCATTTGCTTTCATTTTCCTTCTCCCCCTGAAATGGGCTCATTTCACCTCTCAGCTGTCCTCTCCCCTCCCCGCCCCCTCCTGGGTTCCCTTCTATTTTCCCCCCTTCTTTTCTGATTCTTCTTTGTTGGGAAAAACACACCCACACACAACTCCTCCTAGCTAAGGCCTGCCTGCGCTGGAAGCAGAAACTGAGTCCTCTTCGCCTGCCGCGAGGAGACCCGCGTCCTGCCCCCACCCCAGGTGGGTATCTCGGATCCCTGCACACCCGGAGTCAGGCCCCCAAGCCCAGCAGGAGTGAAATCCCCAGGGCCTGTGAACGTGGCCCTCTCAACGCCACGGCCTGCCGCCCGGCCTGCATTCCCGCTGACGCCCCCGCCCTGCCGCTCCGCAGCAAACGGGGCTATTTCCGGCTCCCCCAACACGTTCTGGTTTTCCAGCCTGGGGAGTGGCTGGAGGGGGAGCCGCCCCAGAGCTAGGGCTGCCCTCTGCCTGGAGCCCCAGTGGCCCTGAGCGCGTTGTTACCTGATCTTTTGTGTGATGTATGTGTCGCAAAGAAATTTGCAGTGACTTTGGAGCCCAGACTGAGGAAGCCGAGGTAGCGAAAGGAGAGACAATACCGGCCCGAAGTACAATTAAGGGGCTAGAGCCTCTGGTCTCTCCCCCGCCCTCCCTGCCYGACTGGGAGCTGTCTAGCCTCAAACCTCAGGGCGACTCAACGAACCTGGAGCCAGAAACTCAGCCCGTGGCGGGGAGAGCAAGAGGACTCCGCATCAAGAAACCAGGGGAAAGCTCCCTTCCAAGTTGGGGGCGCCGTAACCCGCCCTGCTGAGTTGCAGAGAATCCAATGAATGAAAGTGCGCATTCCGACGACTAATTTTCCCCCGAATTGTCTCAGCCTTTAGAAGGAGAGCCTAGGGTTTGGGACTTCTCAGACAGTCAGACAAACCGCATCTCCCGAGACGGACAGACTCACAACATGAGTGTGAGCCTGAAATAATATACAGGTTCAACATTCCCCGAGGCCTCCTTGCCAGGCCTGGCGGGCGCCGATCTCCCTACCTTCTCTCCCGCCAAGGCCTCAGGCAAGAGACCCAGATGACTCCGTCCCTCTGGCTTGGTCCAATCCCGCCTCGGGAAGCGCCTTCGTTACCTGCTCCTCGGCTCCCCATGGCCACAGATGCAGGGCAGCAGCCTCCCGCCGCCGGGGGAGGAAAGCCCCGGCCACCGCAGCCCGTCGCCACCCGCCCTCCTTCCCTCCCTCCCTCCATCTCGCCCTCCCTCCCTCTCTCCCTCCCTCACGCGCTGCCGCTCGCGGGGCCCTCCCGCGGGCAACCTGCTCTGGACCAAATCCAGGTATCTCCGAAAGAGAAAAAAGAAAGAACCTCTTCTATGAAAATGGAAAAAAAGGAAGACCTTTAACTGCATTTATTTTTTCTGCTCTGACCATTGGTCGGCCTCCGTTTAGATGTCCAGGACACAGCCCAGAAGCCGCAGAGGTGTGCCGGGCCTGCTGCCTCGCCCACACTGACCGCCGCGCCCCCAGCACTGCACGCTGCACACCCTCAGGGCCGCCGCCCCCGGCAGCCCAAACACGCAACAGACCTCAAGGTCCTTCCTACAGACTCAACATCCGGTTGCCGGCCTCGCCGCTGACCACAGCCCTAGAGCCCACTTTGCTCCGTCTGCGGCCGAAGTCCACACACGATCCACCTTGTTGGTACTCTAGCACCCTGCCCGGACACCCTTCCTAGTCCAGTCGCCAGCTGGGCTACACTTGGGCTGCGGCGCTGCCCAGGACTTYAAACCTCATCCCCCGAGTGGGACCCACACAAAGCCAGAGAAAAGCTGGCGTTCCCACCCGTAGCCTCAGCCTCCGGTTTCCGCCTCCCCCTTCACCTGTTCCCAAGAAGAGCTTCCTTCATCTCCAAGCGAGCGCGGAGGCAAGGCCGATGGCAGGGGCGAGGTCTCAGGGAGGCCACAGAGATCAGTCAGGCTGTGCCGGAGCCCCCGCAGCCGGCGAGATAGCTGAGAGACCAAGGCTCTCCTTGGCGAGCTCTTGCCTTTTCCGCCTTCTCCCGCAAG